GGGACCGAATGGGTGGAATCGGAAACTGGCGATCGAAAGATGTAGCCTGTTATCGGGGATAACAGTGACTCTGCTGGGCGGCTCCTGCCAAAGGTAACCCGCTAGCTCTCTCCTCGTTAACTGCGCGCGTCGTGTGAACCCAGAGATCTGCGGGCAGGGAGGCAGACAGGCAGACAGACAGACGGAAGGATGGAGAGAGGGGGGGGGGAAGGGGAAGAGGGAGGGGAGAGCGAGCGAAGGACCTCTACGATTTTGCTTACCGATTGCTGCACGACCCGGAACGTCGCATCCAGCATCATGAGAGGCCAAGGCTCGGAGACGGTGCTGGGTAGCGGCAGGTAGACGTAATAAGCGGTCAGCGCCAGCCAGCCGGCCAGTAGCACCAGGGCCGACTTCATCGCCTTACTGAGTCCGCAGTCCCGCGAGCTTCTTTTTCAACCGGCCGACTTTTTTTGAGGCAAAGGCGGCGGTTAGCCTCCCATTTGTAGCATTTCATAATCCGGCCGAGCCAATCGTGAGGGGGGAAGAGAGAAGAAGGGAGAGGAAGTCCGGGCCCTTCCGTCGCTTCCGAGCCGGCCGGCCGCCCTTGGCTCAGCTTTTGCCTAGGAACGCCGGCAGGGCGAGGCGGCGGCGAAGGGGAGCGGTGTGTGTAACGGTGGCCCCTCGCAGGAAAGGCTCGGGATTTGTCCTTGCGCCCCTCCCACGTTTTCCTCTTCTGCAGATTTCCAAAATTAGGGCAAAGGGCTCCGGGGTCAGGGATGACCTCTAGCAGGTGAGCACAAATATTTATTCAGGGGTTGGCAGAGGGAGGGCCACGTATGCATTTTCAGACAACCTAGACATTTCCCTTGAGGCTTGCCTCGCACTGCCTCCTATGCTCCCCTCCACCCCGAAGGTTTATTCTCGATTTATTACCACAATACTCTTTTGTTTGGCGGATTATTTAGAAACTAGTATGGGGCTAAAATCTGAGGAAATGCACTATGCTAACGGTATCTTCAATCTATCTAAATCAAGGCTCTTCAAACTTGGCAACTTTAAGACTTGTGGACTTCAACTCCCAGAATTCCTGAGCTAACATGACTGGAGGAGGAATTCTGGGAGTTGAAGTCTTAAAGCGGTCATGTTTGAAGATCTAAAGAATCATCTTCCCCATAACTGAAAACCAAAACACCTTAATTAAAACATTCAATGCGATTTGTTGGTTTGTGGATGATAAAGCAATCCACTTACGACCACAATGGAGCCCGACATTTCTGTTGCTAAGTGAGACGTTTGCCAAGTGGGTTTGGCCCCATTTTACGACCTTTCTTGACACTGTTGTTAAGCGGATCAACCGTCATAAATGTGAGTCAGTTGACAAGCATCTAAATTTTGATGACGTGACCGTGGGGATGCCCCAACTGCCCTAAGTGTTAAAAATAGCCATGTCAGTTTTTTCAGTGCCGTTGTAACTGGTCACAAAATGAACTGTTGTAAGTCAGGGACTACATGTATTTCATAAATAAGATGTAAACTTATTTAAAACAAGGAACTATCCCTAATCATAACTGAGGAGGGAAATTATATTTGGCCCGCAGAAGCTCAGGTCTAGTGGAAGACTGCAAAGAGATGCAAAGGCAACTGGACTTTCTTTATTTTTCCTTGAAGACATTTCACTTCTCATTCAAGAAGCGTCTTCCAGTTCTAGCTGAATTGTGGAGGATGGAAGGATTGCAAGGAATATAAACTCTTCTATCGTCCATTATTCAGTCAGAATTGAAGAAACTTCTCAGATGAGAAGCGAAATGTCTTCAAGGAAAAACAGTTGTCTTTGGAAAAAGCACCTTTGGGACAACCATGACCTGGATGACTGAGAATCTCCACAGACATTGCAAAGAGATGATGGCAGCTGACCTTGAGCTGCCAGAAAAGGTTGCTAGCATAACAATTGGCATCCTCCCCCATTGCGGAGCCCTATTAAGCCTTAATAGACAGCTGGTGATTGGCACCGTCCTTTCTGTTTTGATAAAAGAACAACTAAAGCGATGGCTTCCCTTGCTTCCTTTCTCACCAAGTTGTCAGCCTTGGAAGTCATATTTTATATAAAAGCTTCGAGGCTGCCACATTCAGTGCCTGGGAATTTGGGAGGTGGGATTTCATAAAGGATGGAAGGTTAGACTCAACAACATTCTTCTCATAGAGTCAAGGACAAGTAACCCTGCACCGGTGAGGAATTGCTGGAGTAATGTCTCCAGTTGGGACAGTGGTTGATTGGTCCATGTGATGGACTGGTGGGGTGCAGGGGATGGGCTTTTGATTTTCAATTAGGAAAGGAAAACCCAGAACTCTCAGATTCAGGTTTTCTCAGATGTGACAATATGACTTCTACAATAAACGGTTTACTTGAATGGGCTTGGTTTCTGAGTGCAGAATGACATGGGGCGTTTCATTGGAACACTGACACAAGTATTGCCTGGTGTTGGGAAAGCAATTGCCTGCCACTCCCTTTTCCTAACCCAGAGTTGGGTGAATGTAGGTGGGTCCTTGGCTTGACATATTCAATCTCCTGTCAACTAACAAGATGTAGGCATCGAGGCGTTCTGCATTTGAGATTCACCAAATGGGCTATTTCTGGCCATGGGTCTCTCTTCCTTACAAGCGAGGAGAAGGGTGACGTTGGTATAAGTATCCTAGTCCTTGAGATTCACGGGTCATAGAAGGGGTTACATCAAACAGGAGAGCTCCATACAAACCATGAAGGCAGGTGGGAGGAAAGTAAGAGACATATGTCGAGGAGGGACCCCTGTGGAAACTGTGGATGGCCCACCCTCTGGAAAAGAGTGCCGATGACAGAAGAAGGAAAATGGGAGGAGCTTGCATGGGAGATTGTGTAGGAGAGAAATTGCATTACGAAGGTGCAGCAGAGACTGAAGAAACTAAACCTTCTCATGGGAGAGGTTAATGGTTCTTGTTGTGGCCCACCAGTGGCCAGTGGAGCTGGCAGCAGATTCAGACAGTGAGGAGGTTGGGGAGGAACATGGGCCAGTCCTGGAGTCTGGGGAAGGCTCTGACGAGTGCTCTGAGTCGGAAGCAGAAGAATAGCTGGAGCCTGTTCCCAGTGTGCGCATGTGCAGAGTTGCCAGAAGAAGGGAACAGCTAAGGAACAAGGGTCGACTTGGGAGTAAAGCCACAGATTAACAGTGAACGGCCCCTCCCATAGGGAATAAAAGAGGACCGAAAGGGGAATGGGGTTTTGCAGGAGACAGTTAGCTCATTGGGGTGAAGATCTGTTCCTGCATTCTTGCCAAGCGTTGTCTGCTACAATGTGGCATCTGAAAGATATCCACCTGGCAACTCTCCAAGCCTGATAATTGGGAAATATCTTGAAAGAGTGTTGGCTGGGACTTTGCTGGAGAGGAATTCACTGTAAACTAAATAAAAGGGGTTTATTGGGATGAGGAGTAAGCTTTGTGCTGTTGGGGAAGCCTAGGTCAGAACAGTTCTGGCTCATACGTGCACCTGTGTGTATACCCCATCAAGGGCCTTTATTGGAAAGGTGCCGTGGGGCTTTTATGTCTTCCCTGAAAATTTAGGTATGTAGTGGTGGAAGGAGGTAAGTGGCAACTTCAAGCAATGCATCTCTGTGCTCAGAAGCTGATCTCACCTGAGTCATTTCTAAGCTGACATCTCACCATCTCTGAGCTTACATGTCACATCACACCATCCTTTGTGTATTGAACCTGAAGGGATCTATGTCTATGGAGACTGAAACTGGGCCCGATTGCCCAGTTTCGATTGGCTTGGAAAGACACCAGGAAAAGCAGAGTTCTGTTCCGTGTTTCCCAATGCAATAAATCTGAAAGATCGCTCCAGCAGCCCCAGGCTTATCCACTATTCTAAGGCAATATATACCTGAATTTGGAGCAGAAGGCTCTGAGAAGGAGAATCTGCAAGAACTTTCTCTTCTTTCACTATAGATGCATTAACCAATATTTTCTACAATTTGGCAATCTTAAGACATGTTGACTTCAACATTCAGAATTCTCAAGGCAGGAATTAAGGAAACTTGCACAATGTCACAAGAATATTTAACCTATAGTATAAGAATAAACCCTTCTGCTGTAGATGCGCCTTGCAGATCCCTGTCTTGACAACATACCATTTGGGAATTTCTAGAGTACTACCTACTAAAACAAGGGATTTTCTGTATTCCATGAGCTCTCCTTGTAGGAATGAGACTTTTTTTTTTTTAACAAAGTATATTGTAACCAGTTTTGTTAATAGCCAAACTTCATTTTGTAGTTCCTTGCTGAGTGTATGCAGGGTGGATAAAAATCAATGATTTTTAAAAATAATAAAAAGATCAGTTTTTAAAAATTTAAATTGGATTTTTGATTTTTTTTATTAAATTTATTTTAATTAATAAAATTGGAGTAAAAATCTAAAGATAGTTTTCTATTTAAGGATACATTAATAATTTAGTTTATTCGTCATGAAATGGAGCTTAGTGATGTAGCATGAGGCTGTATATTCTGCAATATTAACATTTTTGGTAAACTCATTCAATGAATCCAGGCTCTGCAAGCTGAGATAACTTGCACTGCATTGATGCATTCATACAATTTCACAGCAGAGATGACAGCTCTTTAAAAATTATGATTAAAATTAAATTGAGTTGATTTAAGTCAGGCCTTTTTACTAGTGATTTAAATCATGATTTAAACTGACTTGATTTAAATCAAGTCCACCCTGGTGGTATGTGATGCTATGAAGGGTGTATTAGAGATCTTAGTATTTCACAAATGTACTGGTATAATAAGGATAATAAGGATTTATTCTGAATCAAGCTTTTTGGTAGATACTGCTGATTTGAAAATTAAATTTTGGAAAATGATCTCCCCACCCCCTCTCTTTGAAGCTCAGCATATAGTAACAAAATATTTTTCTGTTGAAAACAAAAATACTGTTGTGTCTGGCAACAGAAATTCAGAATTCCTAGCTTCCCTTCTTAAATGTCAAATGGATGGGAATAAAACAACAGGTGGAAGATTACTGAATGGACCTTTGGCTACAGAAAGTAAGGAAATTAGTAATTCAGATACCCACATTTGATGTTAAAAAAAGAAAAAACAAAAAATATATCACTAGAAGGAATGACAGAGCTTTTAAAGAATCTTAAATACAACAAAGCAGTAGTTTGAGTGCTGAGTTTCTGGCAGAATGTTTTAAGAGCTTTGCCAAATAACTACTCCAAATTTAGCTCACCTTTGTAACACTATTTCAGAAGGTCAGCCTATTTCCAATTCATGGAGATAATCCAGAATCTGTTTTCCTTAAACCAAAATAAATAAATAAATAAATAAAAAGGATAAGATTTATCACACTGTAGCATTACTGAATCAAGATTTTACAAATGTTACTCCTTTATTGGCCTACAGTTTAAATAACACAATCACTCATCTTATCCATAAGGATCAGTCTGAATTTATACTTGGTTGCCAAATCACAGTTTCTATTAAAATTGTACATAATGTCCCAAAACACTGCAGGGAAAACAAACAATTTTACTGACATTATTATCCTTGGATGCATATAGGAAAGGGGTTCCCAGCTGGGGGTGCAGGAACCCCAGAGGGCATGATATGGAATTTTATGGAGTGCAACAAAGAGTGGCACTCTTTGTGAGACAGAATTTCAGGGGTTGTGACAGTTGTGACAAAGAGTGGTTTGTGTTCCTTAGTGATGAGTCACGATTCACAATTACTTTTGGACACTAATCAAACATTTCCTAGGGGTGAAAGTCATAGAAAAGATGGGAATGTAGGGTCGTTGACTGTATTTATTGACTTCCTTTCCACCCCACCCCTTCTGTTCATTTGTGTCCAATTCTCGGAGTCTGCCTGGACAAGTTCCTGCAGTTTTCTTGGCAAAGATTTTCAGAAGTGATTTGCTGTTACCTCCTTCCTAGGGTTGATAGAAATAACTGGCCTAAGTTTACCCAGTTGGCTTTGTGCCTAAGATGAGACTAGAGCTTGTTGGAAGAATTATCCTTCTGGGTTCAGTTCCAAGTGGGGAAAAAGACACTGGAAACATGGGGGCTGTTTGGAAAGATGGTTTAATGGTGGACAGGACCACATGGCTTGGAGCTCCAAAGTGAAAAGGGTGATCACATGCTTCAAGATGTTGCGTGAAGGAAAAGAAGGGCCGAGATGCTGAGAGACCCTTAATTATATACCCTCTGTTTGGGTCCCACCTTAGTGTTTCCATTGGCTGTCAGACTCCCAGGGGGTGGGGTTCTTAGCTAACTTTGTAGGCTTTGTCTGGACCACATGGCTTCACCTGAGTGCTGGCTGATGCAATCTTCCCAGGCCAGGTAGTGAGATGGGTAGAAGCCTTTGTTATGTAAAATACTCTGGCCCAGGCCTTAATGGCCCGCCCATTAACAAAGGTGGGGGTGAGCTTCTGCTTCTGAGTTTCTACTCTTTTTAGGGGAAATATTCTGCCTTTTTAATATTTCCTAGGATATTTCCTAGGAACCAGATGCTAATTCTCACAGAATATTAAAAACACTCGACCATCTAGTGCTCAAGTTCAAATCAATTCTGAACTATACATAGAGACATTAAAGCATGGCTGTCAAACTCAATTTCATTGGGGGCTGCATCAGGGCAGCGGTTGACCTCATGGGGCCAGGTGGGTGTGGCTGACTGGGTGGGCTTGGCTGTCCTGATGCTACTCCCCAAACTGCTGGCATGTTTCCTCTTCATACTGGGTACATCGGGCCGAAGCAACGCAGGCATTTCCTTGCATTTTCCAGGATGGCCCCAGGGCCGGATCTGACCACATCGTGGGCCAAATCTGGCCCGTGGGCCTTGTGTTTGACATCCCTGCATTAAGGAGTCCCTTGCCCCTGCTTGCTAGTATTGTCCCAAAAGGCAACTGGACTTTCTTGTTTTTCACTGAAGACATTTCGCTTCAGACCTGGATGACTGAGAATCTGCATAGACCAGGGGTGTCAAACTGTCGGCCTGCTGGCCAGATGCATCATGTGCATCAGCTCCACAAAAGCAAAAAATGCGATATATTGCGATACACCAAGGGATGCGATTTGAGTTTGACACCTGTGCCATAGACAATGGAATACCTGGTTATAAAATTTGGAACAAACAGTCCTATACATACAGTTACAAAATTAAAAATGGTATATTTATTGTCTCTGCATGTGCAATACAGCCTTTGATATTAATAATACAAATCTTATTGATTCAGACACGAAAACAAGGACACACACCCAGCATCCAGGCTCAACTGAGATTTGTTTCCTAAATTTGGCACCATTATTGGCTGTAGATGCTTCCAGAACAGACATCTAGAGACTGTTCCCTGGGAGTGGATATGTTTTATTGGCGCCTGTGGGAATTGTTAAGGAGTCAGGTCAGTTTGGAAATCTGTAATGGAGAGCCACAGCTGACTTTTTCAGCTTTTTTGTAATCCTACTTTTTTCTAGAAGGATTGACCAAGGAAGACATATGATTACAATCCCTGATCTTACTGGATTATTATGTCTGCCTAAATAACTGCAAGAAGAGGACATAGAATTAAATGGCCCTGCCTGACTTCATTTAAATGTATTGGTGAAAGACAGCTGAAGAATGCTAAAGGCTATCCTTTGAGACACATCATTATGCTAAGTACACTATAACGTAATCCTTGATTTCTGACAATTGGGACCGGAACTTTGAAATATAATGCTAAAGGCTATCCTTCTTAGCAGATATGAAATGAATCATGCCTGATTTTATGACATTTTGCTGTGGTTCTTAAGTGAATCATGTCGTTGTTAAGGGAATTCAGCTATTTCCATTGACTTAGCTTATTGGAAGCCTCCCAGGAAGATTGCAAATGGCGATCATATGACCCTGGGGTATTGCAACCATTTTAAGTATATGCTGATTACCAAGCGTTCAAATCTTGATCATGTGACTGTGAGTTTTGTGACAGTCCTTTTTTCACCATCATCAGAATGACCTTGAATGGTCATTCGGTGGCGATGACCTATAAACCTACAGTATTACAATTACTGCTATTGGATCAAAGGTGTGAAGGGAATTATATCGAATGGAAAAGCTGTCTATATAATGGCAACCTGATTTGAAAGTGTTTTCTACGGGATACCTAATTGACTCTTAAAAATCACTTGTGTAATTTCTAATAAAGTTGTTTGATCCTCGGTTTTCAACCCATACACTGTTGTTTTACATTTCTTTATATACTAGATGCTTTTTAAAATGAGTTTTCAGGACAGATTATCCTCCAAAGGCAATTCACAATAGTTAGTAAAACAACAAAGTAAAATCATACAAGCGACTGCAGCCACATTTAAATATTAAAACATAATTCGCTAATACACAATAAACAGCAGTACAAAAATCAGTAAATCTGATAAAACATTTTGGGGGAAATAAACAGCAAATAATACCATTGGAAAAATAAAAAGAAATCTTAGAAGAAAGCCAATTTCTAATAAACCAATTTACTTTTTCTGAGATGCAGCTAGAGACTTTTGCTTTGAATGAGGGGGATTTGTTGGAACCCTGACAAGAGAAACATGATTACAATTTTAAGTTTATTAATCTACACATTTTATTTTTATTAGAGCTGCAAGATTACTTCCATTAATAAGGAGTTAGGTATAGCACAGTTCATTTATCCTGGGATTAAATTCACCTTTTTTGCTTCAAATTGTCACTATAATTAAATCTGTGAAATCACTTGAGACTTTCAAGAAGAGATTGGACTGCCGTTTGTCAGAAATGGTGTAGAGTATCCCGCTTGGGCGAGGGGTTGGACTAGATGACCTACAAGGTCCCTTCCAACTCTGTTAATCTGTTAAATTGAGGAAGAACATTCTTAGGAATGTCCAGTTGACTGGTAGATTGGGTCTTTATCTTTTATAGGGATAAGGCTTTTTCAAATACAGAATAACAGAGCGGGTAGGGACCAACCACCTGTTTGAGCAAGAAACCCTACACCATATTCTGGAAAAATGGCTGTCCAATCTTTTCTTAAAAACATCCAGTGATGGAGCACCTACAACTTCTGGAGATAAGCCGCTCCACTAATTAATTGTTTTCATTGACAGAAAATGCCTCCTTAGTTCTAGGCTGAATCTCACTTTAATACTCTTCCATCCATTACTTCTTGTCTTGCCTCAGGTAATTTGGAAAACAGGTTGACCCCCTTTTCTCTGTGACAGTCCCTTAAGTACTGGAAGACTGTCATCATATTACCCCTAGTTCTTCTCTTCTTTAGACAAGACATACCTAGTTGCCTCAGTTATTCATTGCAAGGTTTAGCCTCCAGTCCCCTGATCATCTTTGTTGCTCTTCTTTGCACTCTCTCTAGGGTCTCAACATCTTTTTTGCTTTTAGTTTAGTAAGGCAAACTTCACAGGTATTCCTAAAGTAGGCAAGGGCTTTACTAAATGTACTAACTAAAATACCCCTTGGTGTATAGTTATATAGATGAGTATAGTTACTAAGATTTTGGCAACCATTTTGGCCATTTGATGCTAGTTTTTTGTTTAATTGTAGGGCACTCAGGTTAGGCTGGTCTTATGCAGAACCACCAGACTTCTGACAATGTCGGAAATTTAATTAATGTTTTGTAGAGGCAGACAGAAGAGGAGGTCAAGGGGGAACAAATGATGAAAGAACTACTCGTTACACCACAAGTTCTGATCCTTTTGTGAATGTCATATTGTCATATATCCTGTTGTCATATGCAATGACAACAGGAACAGAAGCTTAGGGTATGCTGAGTTTTTCATTTTGACAAAAACTATTGTTACTTGCAAATATCTCTGTATTCTCATTTTAACTCAGAATAGATGAGGCCCAGCAGGTATTATTTCTTGGGATGCAGAAAAAAACTTTTAATGTGGTCTTTGGGGAAATCTTGAAGTAGTTTTTTTTCTTTTAAACATTTTGGTTTTTCACCAGGTTTTATATTTTGGGCTCACTCTGGATCAATCATGGTAGGCTAAGGATACATTTATCATTCTTGATTATACCTCCTATATTTGGACAAGGGATTTAGCCAAAAAAGTATTTATTCAATACTGGATGAACTCTGTACCTGAATTGCAGCAATGGATTGTGCAAATGTGTTTGTCAATATTTTAATTAGCGTTTTTTCTTCTTCAGTAGATGGGCAAAGAAGATTACTTCTGAGTAATATAGTCAAATTTTTTGCTCTGCTTAAAAGACAATTTCTATCTTTCTCTTTTTTCCTTAATGTTTAATTTTGTTGTTGTGTTTATTTTTTTAATTTTGTTGTGCACATTTGTACTTTTTAATTAGTTGGCATAATAACAAATAACTATAATTAATAGTTATCATGCTGTTGAACTTCTTCCTAATAGCTGATTTCAAGGATTATAAGCAAAACAAATTGGCACTGTTGAACTATCAAGAATCTTTCTTGAATTTTTTCCTGGATAACAAAAGTTCTAAAAACTAAATGCCATATATTTCTTTAGGAGTTTCTTTCATGAAGCATGTCACTATGTTTTCTGAACAACAGATGGTCTTAAAAGATTGCATCAGAATAAGCCCCATAAAGCATACAACAACTATAATTGAGAGAAACAAGAAGAAAAAAAATCTGGCTAAACTGAATTTAAATAATCACCAACTCACCCAAGCTGTTGTTTTGTTTTATGGAGAAAAAGTACCAATATAGGTATGTATATCAATATTTATCACTTGCAGAAGAAGAAAGCTTCTTAGGTAAAGGGAGAATGATAATTCTTCACCTTATAGTATGGGCCCACTAATTCACTAAACAATGCAAACATATTTGGGAAATCCTATTAAGTGACTCCTTGCACTATAAAATACACCTGCAGAATAAAAAGGTTGCTTCCCTTTTTAGACAGTATAATGTTCAGCATATGAAGTACAACAGCAATAGCACTTAGATTTACATACCACTTCATAGTGCTTTACAGCCTCTCTAAGTGGTTTATAGCATCAGCATATTTCTCCCAACAATCTGGGTTCTCATTTTACCAACTTTGGAAGGATGAAAGGCTGAATCAACCTGGAGCCGGTGAGGATTGAACTGCTGGCAGTCGGCATCACTGCGTCACCACAGCTCCCAATAGATGAACCTCCATTCTCAACCTATTCCCATTTGTGCGAAAGATGGGAAGATATGTAACTATGGCTGCCTACATGTAGCTGCATGATGTTTGATTGTGAACCCTAATTTCGCGTCAGAAAATACACCAATTTTTTTTGGCAAAATGCATTTCTGGATGGGCAACTGGTTGAATTTCTGAAAATAATATACTATATTTCATTTCACAGAATTCATAAACAGAGAGATGGGTTAAAATAGGAGATCAAGAATTCTTTGAGTTGAGCTTAACTCCTGGAGACCCCATGACACATGCATTCAATTTTCTTGGCAAGTGTGTAGAGATGGTATGCCATTGTTTTCTTCTAGAATGTTTTTTAACTTCTCAGTTTAGCCTACACTTTTCTTATTTTCTGGTGAAATATAATATTATTTTCAGAAATGCAACTATTTACCCAATCTGAAATGCATGTTACTATTTTGTTTTTGGTTTTCTTAGCCTCTGATTCTAGACATGGTCAGTTAGATGCTACCTTCTGGAAAGACAAGTGGAACAAACCAACAATGCAACGTGAAAGCACCTGCACTCTTTGTTCTTATGGTTATGACCAAAATGGTTATGGGTTTCATTTCAGCTTTCCCCCATCATCTTAGACATCCTGCAAATATGGGTTATATCTTTACTTCTTTTTCATGCTTGGTTTTAATAATGCCTCCCTAGCACTGAGTGTGCATGATATTCAGATTATGCTGGTTCAAAATATACAGTCTAAATAAACCAGCTTCAAATGCCTGAATAATATCAGACAACTGCTGCCAAGCACCGAGCATATTAGAGAGAAATTGGGCAGAAATGATTTTTTTCTATTACATTGATGCTGTAAGAAAACTGGCAGGTCTTTTTCACTAAAAGAAATCTGTAAGTTCAGGAAGATCTTTCCAGCTCACTGAGTTTAAGTACAAGACAGAAATAAACAGAAGACTTTTTTAAAGAATCAGTTTGGTCAATTTTATGCTTCGCTTGGGCAGTGGAATCAATTCATGCTTCATTTGCAGTTTTTCACAGCTTCCGTCTTTTGCTTTCAGATTTAATTATCCACATATTCCCTTCCCTCATGTGGAAAAAGAATATTTCAAACCCTAAACAAGGAAAAGCTTGTTCATTTCATATTAGAGCACTGCCTTATCTGAGCAGTAAAAGCAATGGTGGTTTAAGATAACTTCTGCCTCTTTCAGGAATGTTGAAAAATATTTGATGGATTAAACAAGAATAATTCCCACTCCAGTCAGGCAAAGAATCTAACTGAGTCTTAAGTACTAAGGCTGAACAGCATGCTAAAAAGGATTGTTTTAAACCTTCAGTTGTTCAGCTGTAACCTTAAAATGGTCACTGCTGAAACTCAAAGAGTTGGATTGCTCTTTAGTAGTAAAGATACCCCTTTTATTATTTTTTTTAAAAACCCTTTTGGTTCTTAGTTGTTAATGAAGCAGAGGGGGGAGGAAGAGGAAAAATAAGAGGAGAGGCGTGGGGACAGGACAGGTGAGTAGAGGGTAAAGAAGGAGGTAAGGAAGGAAAGAAAAATAAAAGGAAAAAGGAAAGGAAAGGAAAGGGAAGAGAAAGAAAGAAAGAAAGAAAGAAAGAAAGAAAGAAAGAAAGAAAGAAAGAAAGAAAGAAAGAAAGAAAGAAAGAAAGAAAGAAAGAAAGAA